AGTAAAGTAATACCATACCATTCTTACCAAGCATTGTACTAAGAATTTCCATAAGTTCCTCGCGAGCCCCAAAACAGACACAACTTCAATTTGCTCAAGAACCAAGCCACTTACAAACGAACTTCATACCACCTCTTCGGTTCATTTTCACCTAATAAATAAACTCCATGATTATACCACTTATCCTGAATACCTGCATAAAAGAAGAGACGACAGATCCCAATGTGATTCACCAGAGATTACCATAACTTCAAAAAACTTGGAAAAATTTGACCCACTGAAAGCCCCAACCCGAAATTAGAAATTCTCCCGAGGGCGACCTCCGATTGAGACGCGAGAGTAGCCACCAATAATTATTTGCGAGCGCTCTTAAACCGTAGACAAAGGGAGGTGCATAATTAAGACCGAGTTACGGCGGTGACAACGTCGAGTCGGAATAATTTACGAGACCATTATGCCGCGATTTTTCTTGGAACCGGGGCGTATTGGCGCGACGTATCACTCGTTTTGCTCGCTTTTACAGGCCGACGACGCGATAGGCCTCCGCCTGCGACCTCGTAAAAGCCCCTCGGTGCCTTTAGATGGGAAAAAGAAAAGGGAAACGAGAGAATCGAAACGTGTCACGTAATGCGCCGGGTCGCGTCATCTTGAAAACTGTAAACGTGACGCGCCCTCGTGACTCGGAAAACGTGCGGATAAATATTTAGCCGGTCGTCGCGGCGCGTGGCGTTCGCGGGGCTAATTTCCTCTTTACCTCGTGCCCTCTGTATTTTTCTGCGCCTACAGAATTTCTATTTAGTGGAACATTTTTTTTTTGGGAGACGGTAGAATTTTTTATACGACGAATCAAGTGACCTCTAGACACTCGCCCACGTAGAAACGCGAAGGTTCCGGTCGATATCTCGGCTACTATCGATACTATCGAATATATGTACGGAACGGGAAAGTTTCTGCATGTAATTTGCAACAATATCGGTTACATGGCTTTTGGAGTGTAAACAATGGTAAACGAGATATCCTATATATTTCATCAGATTTTATTATGTATCCACCTCGGCTATAGATTCGCTCCAAATTCCATCGTGCTTGCTCCAATCGATTTCTGGTGATGTAATAACGAATAAAAAGACAAGAATGCATTTTACTGATAAATAGATGCTCAATATTATTGAAATTTATACATGTTCGCATTCTTTAATGAGGTTAGAGAGATATGTGGTGTCGATGTGTTGGATCACTAAAGGAACAGATCGTTATACGTAAATAGTAGGTGACAATAGAGCACTAATATAAATACAGGTAAAGGTAACGTACTTCAAACGGTTAGTCTGTTTTAATTTTTCATCATCCTGTAACCAATCTTCGTTAAGTAAATTGTCGAATTACTCTTTATTTCTTTAGTTCTTTAAAATTACATTATAATATTTCTAATAAACAAAAATTCTATCTTGAATAACATGATCGAAAAGACATCATTTAATAATTAAGAATATCTAGAACCGTGACTGTGTATTTGAAATTGCTTGTGTGATCACTATATATATAAATATATAAACAGTTGTAAGTATAACGTGCTAAACTATTTTTGTTCAAAGTCTACATTTCAATAATATAACTTAAAAATATACTTTTATGGTTCCCTACGCTTCAATCTAGGCGTTCGATATTCCAGGAATAAGTCTGACTGACTTTTTTGGGTCCATTAAGGTTGCACCCGTCGTGGCAACATGTGTGCACCGCAAATGCATCTCAACAAAGCTCGGTGCAAGTGATGCGCGTCGCAGAATCAGCTTGCGTAACGAACATGCACGATGCACGCCACGCCGGCTGACCCACATGCGGGGTCTTTATTTAAACTGGTTTCCTCCTCGGCGTTCTTTGGTACCGTCTTTCCGTCTACAAATTCGTTAAAAGAAACATCGAAACCGAATATCGCGCTGCGCACAATTCAAAGTACGAAAAGTTAACGAAAAAGTCGTATTATACAGAAATTTAATAGAGAAGAATTTTCAAATTCTGCAAAACTTTCTTCTTCCTTTCTTTTTTCTTGAAAAATGAATATAGAATTCGAATGTAGCAGATATTCTAGCGTGTTTCTCGTTACAAGATTGAAATATAATTTTCGAATCTAGGAAAGCTTGTTATTGGACACAGTATGCTACACATTGGCTTGAGTCCAATTCTGTCAATGAGTAATAAGTCTTTTCATCCACGATTTAGAGAACTGTTTGTTTTTAGACTCACTGGTGGTTTCTAATCTACTTTCTATATATTCTGAAGACAGTCGAGTGTCCTTCGAGGAAAACAAATGAACGTGAATTGTAATTTCCTTTTTCTCGTAATTTAAAGGGATATCTATTGATAGAATGTTCCAAATATTCTATACTGCTTTCTGTAAAAATATATATCGTATACATAAAAAGGTTATTAAAACAATTGAATGTACGACAATAATTTTTACCATTATGTGAAATAAACAAACAGTTGAATTCTAATTTGGGCACTTAAGGATCATTCCTAAAGTCAACTACGCGTGTAATTTTCGAGCAAAGTACGTTTAAAGTGTGTCTTAAACTTACAGGTTGTGTACAAGCCGTCGCCTAAAATATGGCTCCCAAAGTGCAAGCACTTGCTCACCCGCGCTACGTACGAGTGCTTCAACTATTAAAACGGAATTTAGCCCAAACGTGCTGCTGGCGTGTTTCGTTTCGCCAACTACAACTCACGCTAAACGCTCGCGTGGCCATTAAGCGATACTGAAGACATCGGGGATATGCGAAAAAAGTCGACACTCTAATCTGCATTAGAAATGGGGAAAAAGATATGAAAGTTTATAGAAGAATAGAGTTATTGAAAAATATACTTGAATAGAGAGAAGAATATTTGTTGAATCGAATAATTATTGTTATTTATAAAAATATAGCCTGTAGTGTATGAATTTTATTTAATCACTCAAGGTGGGAATTATTTCTTGGAAGAATTATTTCTTTCAAGGGAATAATTAAATTCTTTTCAAGGAATTAATTCATTCTATTTATATATTCACCGATTAATGAAATAAACTAGGGATGAACAGGATATTATTTAAAAGATTGTTTGTGAAAGTAAAATATTTAATTTCTATATATTGATATTGATTTATACATGGTTGACCCTCGAGGGAATTAAAATATAGTCAGTCAGTCGAGGATTGAACATCCCTTAAAATATGAACAAACTGAAGAAAAAAGATCGTGTAAATATATACTCATATAGAGAGATGAAAGATAAATAAATCAATAACTAGATGTATAGATAGACAATTGAATATACACATAAATAAATAGACAGACGTCGAGTAAATTACACGCTGTGACCAAAAACGAAATAGATTTTTCCATCGTCCTTTCCCCCTTCCCTGTCACGCCGCAAAGTCGTCGGGAACGGGAACGGGAACGGGAACGGGAACGGAAGATCGAATCGGCGTTTCTTCCAGACAAAGGAGTCCACAACCCGTGACAGAACAAACTCATGGAAACGTGCCTCCGCACCGAATTCCGTGAAACGCGGCAATCGAAGAGGAAGAATCGAGAGGAAAATGAAAGGGTGTGGGGAGGTGGAAGGTTGGGTGCAAAAGCTCGGTGAAAGGTCCAACGAAATTCCCATCGATCCGTGCGCGCCATCGTCTCGATGGACACGAATTCCAAGATCTCCGGGGTGGGAAAAAGAGTCTTGGTACCGGCGCGTGTAAAACCTTCGAATACGTAGCACGGTTCCGGGAAACCGTTCCCACGAGGTGCGCCACCTACGTTTCCCCAAAGCCGCAGGCTCGTTTCCATATCGCGAGACCCTGACTGGCAAATGAGGAATTTCTATGGATAGCGTACAGGGTACCCTAACCCTTTCACGTGCGAGTGTTTGGCTACTGGTTTTTGGTGAAACATGAACAATGTTATCATTTTGAAATGTGAAAAGTAGGACACTGTTGGAATAGGCTAGAAAATATGACTTTATAAGTATATCTAATAAGTTTGACAAGTGTTACAAACTAACGGAAGAATAGAATTGTACATTAGAAACTGAAGAGAAAACGTGCAATAAATTTTTTTCATACGAGGGTCCGATCCCAAGAAAATCGATTTTGAAGTTGCGCGGAGTGACTGATAATTTTCAAAACACAACTGGTGCAAAATTGATTACAAAAAGTAATACTTTTCAATGTAAATTTCTACTTGTATCCGATTTATTTAATTGTTGCGGACATATCCAACAGCGTATATTCAATAAAATTTTAACGAAGCTTGCTCCGTGCCCCAAACAGTTTCAGGCTTCATTTTCTCAGAAACAACACCTGGTACGAAAAAAATTAATTACACGTTTTTCACTTATTTTTGCACGTAGATTCTTTTCATATTCGTGATCACAAGGAAAGTATAATTTTACTACTGTTTTAATCCCAGCAAATCAACGAAGGCATCGGTTTAATCGCGAAAACTGCAGAACAATGGTTACTCAACGATATAATGAATGTTTAGTTTCCAAGAAGTGATCCACATGGTCGTGTAGGCGACATCGCTGGATTATTAATAGCGACGGACATAGTACGTGCCTTTTACAAGGAGCGATTAGTTGCATATTTCATGAAACACCGTTCGAAGGGGATGGACGCATTATCGTCGCCCTTTTTCATGCTAACGTGGCTAGTGTGAAGGAGTACGGCCGAATCAATATTTGCATATCGAGACAGTTTGCTATAAAGCAAACAGTTCTAAGAAGGAAGTGCATTAATAACAATCATATAATAATCAACGTTGAGGAAGATAATTGCTGTCAGGTGTAAATAATAATTTCGTTGCAACTATTTAACTGTACTTGAGCGTTTCATTAGTTTTAATGAGCTCCAATTCAAAAATTTAATGACGAAGAGTAACGAAGTACTTTAGAAAGTGCTCTGTAAAAATTGGGCCTGTTGCCAAAAAGGATATTCGTGTTGAATAATTTTTAAGCAAAAGACTGTCGAATTCTGTTTTTTTTTTTTTTTATATATGATTAGTAGCAGTATTCAATATGGAAATCCCTGCTCAAGTACTTTTTTAAAGTCTCCCATATTTTGCTTATTAGAAACCTAACATGGTAGAGTCCAATTGTCATTGGTTTGATTTAGGACTTAACATATGACATAATTGTATATGTCTGGTAGACCTTGATAATTACATACCGAGTTGATGGCTGTCATGCTGCTAATTCGACCTGGACCTGTGTCCACTAGCCCGTTGTCACTCTACAACAAAAAAGAAAAAAGTTGTCAGTTAATATACGAAGAACATCAGACTCATGAAATCGAAACACGAAAGTAACACTCACATAAATTACAATAACATAGTTAACGCATACAATCAAGAATACTAAGCTTCCAATGAAGACACATTTGATAATAGTTTTCCTCAAAAATTCATTTCCAGATTTTTATTTAAAATTCAAGAAACATTCAAAACGAGCGTCAATTAATTGAACATATCAGATTCCGAATGTTTCTCAACTTCCGCAGGCCGCAGTTACGAAACGACACGAAAGGGAGAATAAAAGAGGAATGAGGAAAGAGGGGATTGGGAAAAAGTGAAAGGGTGCCACGAAAACTTTTTGCAACGCGAATTCTCAAGAACGAAAGTAAACGCGCGGTAACGCGAGTGCACTCGGCGTTGGGTACGCGATTTTTTTTTAATCGCCGCACCGGTCGCAATTAAAATTTCGTCTCGTCGAAAATGTTTCTTATTCGACCCTTCAGACCGCCTCGTTAAATCGGGATATTAATTAAGCGGCGATAACGTCACGGCAATGCCATGGAAACTTTTCCAGTTAAAAACATCGATCTCGTTCGAGTATGAGGGCAATTCGCTTAGGGAATATATCGTATAATTTTTTTTTTATGAATGATGTATCGCAATATATATTTGGAATATTTATTTTTAATCTTGCATGCGTAGAATAGAATTTAATTATTTGTTGTGTATATCAAATAACGTTAAGTAAAAAGGACAGTACAAATAATTGAAATAATAATTGTCTTGTATTGATAATTTATTATGCATTCATTATTCTCTTCATTTATTAGTGATTTTTTTAAATGTACATCGTATGGATGTATTGACAATTTAGTATACATAATGTTTATTACTTGATATGTATAATAAATTGTCAATACATCCATACGATGTACATTTAAAAAAATCACTAATAAATGAAGAGAATAATGAATAGTTATTTTTCTTCGTTCTATAATGCACCTCTATAATATAATATCCTTCGGTAGATAATTAAAAATTCATTTTCTACATACATAGTGACATACACAAATTAATCAAGAGTATCTAAAAAATAAATTGACAATCCTAAAAAGATAAAATTCTCACCACTCATAATACACCTCCAAGTACCTGGACATTTGTTAGAACTAGGAATCCCCGACAATTTCATCCCGCGACCGCACCAAGTGGAAAAAGTTCAAGAAACGCTACCTCTTCCGGCACCTAAAGTCACTACCCATCCCCAGCTCCTATCTCAGCCGCAGTGGTAACTGAGGAGGCTAATAAAACCGTCGGCGCGGCTACGAGATTCCCGAAGCAACGGACGACCCCCGTGTGTCGGTACGTCGATTCGGTCCTTCCCTGGTCGATCCCTGCGACCGGGGGTGGAGGTAGGTTCGTCGAGGTCACGCGAAAACCGGTCAGGATTATCGAGATGGAAATTCTGTGCTCGCAAGCACGACGGAAACGGCGCTCGTAGTCGCTCCCAGGAATCACCGAAGCGTACCACGGGGACGTGGCAAGGGACGGAGGTCGGAATGGAAGCACCGCGAAGGAGAAATAGTACAAAGGCGACGACGGCATCGGCCACGGAACCGAGGCGAAAGAGCCTCGGTGCAAATGTCGTTCTGAACTTTGATCGTAAAACAGCGGCGGGCTTCACCCGGGGTAGGTGGAGCGTCCGTCTTGAACGTCTGCCAGATCGGTTATGCTCGAATAAATTTACGTGTCAAACTCCGCGCCCGAAACCTACCAGACCCCTTCTCCGGGCCCTTTCCACCCTTTTAGGCCTCGTTTTCGGACTGAACAGAGGTTGGTCTGGTGATTAGTCGACACCTTTGGCTCGTGGGGTGATTTAAACAAGGATTTCGTGAGGAATTGTGACATAGGGTTGTAAAGCAGACATGACGCTTTGATTTTAGGAGCGGAACTGTGATTTGAAGCACGACCTTTTACAGTGGTAATTTGGGAAATGGTAAAAAAGAAGGGGATGTTTTTATAAATGTTGCATAGGGACACTATTTAGTTTCTATTCGAGCACTTCTCTTCTATCACTGTTTATCCATGTATTTATTGTAATGCCCTCTTAAGGGTTACATAGCTTCCACTTTCACTTACAATCTTATTACATAATATTGCTTTAATCTATCGTTATACTATTCTTAGTTGGATCCTAGTTGAAGCCTAAAGGAGATCAGCAAAACTTCATTACTAGAAACTTAATAACTTAGAAACTTCATAATCTCTCGTATACATACATCACTGAATATTGTCGAACTACCCCCAAGTATTTAAACAGAATTAAACAAAGACCTAACCTAGCTGTACGTGTCGCCAATAATACTTCTCTCGCCCATAATGAATTTCTAAAAAAAAGTCAACCGTCGACTCGCGACCGCCCATTCAGGATTCGTCGACCGACGACGATCGATCAATTACAACGAGAAGTCCGCAGCGTGCAAAGAATCACGTTGCAGCGAGATATTAATTGAAATCGATCAAAGTCGATCAACGCGTCAACCATTAAGCCACTCGAAATGAACCGCTGTCCAAGTTTCACTCTATTTCCACCAGGAAATTTATTAACTTTCCCGTGCTCCGAGTTTTCTTGCCGTGCAGCTCGAAGGGCATTAGGGAAGATAGATGGCGCAAAACGGCGGTACAGAAAAATTAAGTGCGCGCAGAAACGTTAGCCGGCTAAACGATTCAAAGACGTGCATTACGCCGCGGGAGCGGAGTAGTTGGCAAGAATCGGAAACCTTGAAAGATTCGGAACCGGGTTGTAGTTTGTGTTCTCGTAACGGAAGTCGCCCACCCATCGCGGAAGAGCTCTGGCCAGCGTTAATGGCGCTGTTTGCCTCGCGTGCTACTTTGTCAAGTTCGTGGGTGAAACGCGTATTTCACATTTCGGACGATGCGCGACTCGCGTGGATTGCTTTGTCGTCGGGTTGGTGCACCTCGCGCGGTATCTTTGGGAGAGGGTTTAGGTGTAGCTATAATCCTACGGGAGATTATGGCGTTCGTGATTCTTGATGTGTTTGAGTAAAAAGGAAATCGAGTTCTTCGTTATTTACAGTGTTTGTTTAGAGGGAATTAAATGGAATTGTTAGGAGGACAGTTGCTTGTTGGAAGATCGATAGAAAATTGATATTTATTGTAGCATTTTTCAGTGTGATATCGATTTCGAAATATAATATTATATTGAAAGGGAAATGCAAAATCGATATCAACGTGCAACTTTCAGTTTAGATAGAAACTAATAATAGTAGGGTCGTCCCACATGTTTATGCCACTTATTCTTCTGCTACTCAAATTAACATGTGAAACATACCTTTAAGTGCTATAAAAAAATGTAATCTCTATCATTTTACGTGATTTTCCCACCTTTCAGAGATAGTCATTATATCGTCACTATAAAATTTCTGTAGTTTTCTTTTATTAAATATCGACTCAGTCTGCAACACGAACTTACGCGAATAATTGCATTTAAGAGTTACTTAATTCGTACATTTAAATGAAGAATTACTTAAGAAACATATTCAAAGTACAATATTTAATTGGCCCCTTCAACTTGTCAAAATGAAAACACTTCACCTTGCAAGATTTCCCCTGCGACTTAAAATAGTACTTCGGCGAAACTATGTAGCGTCAATTGTCTAAAATAGTAAACGCATTTGAAATATCTGCCTCTAAATTTTACTCGGCTCTGCTGGCGAGCATTCCACTTCGTTCTGTATTAAGCAATTCTAATCGTCCTCGCTATAAATACAAGCCATTGTTATGACAAAACTGGCTCGAAAGCACTTTTTGGCGTAGCAGCGGTTGACGCTGCGACGCAGTAAAACGCTCGGATGATTTAAAGGTGTCGTTCGAGGGTACCCGGGAACAGTTACAGAACGCAGCCAGGAGTTAAACTGAAACGATGGGACTAAAGAAATTATGACCCGACGGCGATTTACGGCGTAGGCAACGGTTTCAGATCGCGCAGAATCGAACAGTTTTCGTCGGCGAAGCCACCGACTGCCATTAAAATCGACTAGCATCCAGTCACGAATTTACGAGAGCCAATTATCGACCTGCACTGACCTATTTACTCACGGAAAGCGTCGAACGCTCCTTAGTGTTATAAATCCCGTAATCTCGATGCGATATCGCGACACAGTCGCGATCTTTCGCGGTCTATCATGCTGCCACTTATGCTAGGTGTCTTCGTTGCGAATTCAACGCGCCGAAATGGCTACGATTGAAATTGTTATCGAGAGTAAAAGGACCAATCTTGAGAGGGTAGTTTGGTACTTGAGGCTGGGAATCGACTTTGTAATTTTTTTTTGGATGGAAATAAATAGTCTGATCGAAATGAAAGTTAGAGTACTCGAAGGGACTTTTAGTGCAGTCTAACGAGACGTATTTGTTTTGTCGAATAATGGTTAGATTGGAATTTATAATAATTTGGAACGAGAGGGTTGCCCGTAGCAAGTTTCGACCTTCTATTTTTACCATGTGAAATTTATTTTGTATTTAATTTGTTCCTTTGTAACCGCATGAAAAGAGATCTGATATCAGAATAAATATCAACTCTTGTTTCCTTTAATAATAATAATTTGATTTCGAATAACTGCACTAAACTTTTAATTAATGAAGGTCAAAAATAATAATCCAGGCTATACGTTTAAATCATTTGAGATGAACAAAAACGAACTTGATTTCGAATTATTTGAAATAAATAAAAGTGCAAACCACTGCTTCGAGTACTCATTGATCATCAATTATTATCGACCTTCTGCGACCACTCAACCACCTTAGACAACAACTCCGCCAGCTTGTTACAACGTCTCGTGCATCGTTCGCAACAGGGATGCTTTAATATTAAGGAGGCTTCCGGGGGGGGAGGGGAGGGGGTGATTTAAATAATTCCCTAGAAGCTCGACCCCCGTGTACCCCGAAAGGTCGGAGTTCTTCAATTTATAGTAGGTAAGTC